TGATCTACTGTCTGAGGAATGACAAGGTGAAAGAGGCATTGGGCAAACTGGTCAGAAGAATGATATTGCCGCTGAAAAAGATCACAGTGGAAAAGACATAAACCTGATTGCAGAAAACTCAAATTCTTTTAAATTCATTTTAGAGAAAAGAAAGGATGTAGGTCTGAAAGTGTAAAAGACTTCTTCAATAATCTTGAACTCTGTGTCATGTGAAATACAAGAAAACTCAGATTCCCCTGATCTCCTCATTGGTTCAAAATAAGTTACTTTCCTAAGAGATGGTGTCAAAACTGGATTACAGACATCTTAATTTTGGATTTCAATTCTTGTTATAACTTGGACAACTTGAGAAGTATTTCACCAAAAAAAAAAAAAGATATAAAGAAGTGGCTTCTTTATCTCTTTTTTCTTTCTTTTCTAATTTTTTTCAACTTTTTTTTTCTTGCACTTTTTGCTTTTCCTTTGATTTCTTTCTTTTTTTTTTTTCTTCCTTATATATAAAGGGAATCTACCAGTTCCTGCCCTAAAGGCATCTTGTACATTATAAATAAGGTCAGCATCATTTATCAACATCATTCCTTTGGCAGGATAGAATAAACAAGCTTTAGGTTGGTATTGCTTTCTGCCAACTCAACTGGTGGGTAGCGAATGAACTAAATTGTGAGGAACAATCCTTGAACATGCAAATTCTATGCACAGGTGTCTTGTGTTCATAGAATCCACACTTACATTCTCTTATGCCCACACATTCCATTGCCACACATTTTACATTCTCATGCATATTTTCAGTATATCTATAGCCAAGCCTTGTCATGATCATGTCAATGCAGCTACTACTATTACTGAATAGTTTGTCAGTGGCAACTTGTAAATATTTATAAAAGGTGGCATCTTGAACAGCAGTAACAGCAAAAATGTTACAAAGTAAGTTTTGACTGCTTTAAGAATTATATTAATGTTAAGTAAATTTAAGTAACTTCCTTAAAAGGGAAGCCTTTTTCAGAGTCATTCAGAAATGTGAAAAATTGCACGTTGCTTATACAAATAACAGAGAAGTGCTGTGCCTGTATACAGCCTAAAGGCCTTCTTCTGGATCATTTTGATATGTCTATGCACAGTTTTCTGTGCACTGTACATCCTGATTTGAAATTCAGTTGAAGAAGTAAGGGGGATTTGAGATTTGTACTCAATATAAAAATTGCATTAGATAAAAGAATTACAACTAATTCATGTTATCTTGGTTATGCTCTCCATTAGCCATGAAAAAAAAAAAGAGAGAATACAGTGAATAGGACCAATGGGTGAAGAATGCCAAGGCAGCAATGTTCATAATTACTACAATGACAAGAAAAGTATTACTTTGTCATGGATTTAAGTGTTGGATGTTAATATACTCAGAGCAAAAGCCATAGCCTGATGTTAATATTTGGCATGGATATTTTTACACTGTACATTCTATATATTATATTACTGTTTTGATTCTTGTTCACCACCCAGAGTTCCTTCCAGTAGATGGGCACCTATATAAGTTTGTTTGTTTATTTACTTATTAAATGCATAAATATATTTCTATAGCACCAATATAATGAATTATAGAGAAAGGCATTAGGAATAATTCTTTATCGATCAGTTGTGGAATTCTTTCAATCATAGTTTTATGATTTATGGAAGTGAATCTCTTGAATGTGAATCTCTTTAATTTCAGGATATTTAGTATATTAATTGTGCAATATTTTACTGGCAGATATATTGCAGATAGATGTCAATGGGATTTCTAACCAAAATTTCTTACTCAGCCCTAGGTCTAATAGATCTTTCTCCGTGTATATGTGTGGGTGTGTACCTTCTGCTGTTCACCTCAGCAGCAATATATCTGAACAGAAGTCATGTATTGAAAATAAAGCTGCATTTTTCAGAATAACATTGAAATAAATAGCAATTCCCTTATATCCCCATGAATGTTTGGAGAATAGTTGATAGATTTCTTTTGGTGGGGAAAAGGAGAAAGTTCTTAGGTTTTCTTTAAAAGGTACTTTTGTGGAAATGTTGGTATAAGTAGAATTTTCTCACCCAAGATACATTGTTTCATTGGAAATTGGCCTTGC